CTCTCTCTCTCTCTCCTCTCTCCCTCCCACTCTATCTGAACAAAAAAATGGAAAAACGTCCTCAGGTGAAGATAAAAAAAAAAATCCTGCCTGCAAAATGGGTAAAACCAGGATGAGCAAACCTTCAGTTTTTAGGGATTTCCGCTGACGATATCTCCAGTCTGAGCAGAGTATCACATGAAAGCTAAACAACGAATATTGTTCCTTTTAGGGTGTGATAAAATAGATACACAGGATCTCAAGACAGGGAAGGAAGTATTTCTATTCCACCCTGAGTTTATGAACTAGTTTAAGAAGCAGTTCAATTTGGGAGCCGTACTGTCATAGAGAAACAGACAATCCAGAGGCCAGGCAAAGCAACATGACCGGAAGAAAGGTGGGTGGAAACCAGAGTAAATGAGAAAGAAGTTGAAAGGAGAGAACATTAAAGATCACTCGGTAATTGTACTCATAAGCTGTGTTCAATAGCCCTCTGTTGCGCTGGGCCCAACAAGAGCAAATCGTAGGACTGGAGATTTCAGCTTAGTGTAGAAAAGGGTTTCCTAACATTAGGTTGGCCCCCAACCACAGGAAGCACGGGCTGCCCACCTGCCAGGTGGCTCTGGATGATGACCTACAAGGGGAGAGTTTCACAGGTGTGTCTTAGATTGACAGAGGTTGGTAAACATCGCTGTTATATACCCGGGTGTTTGAAATCACAGAATGCAGTTGAATAAGATTGTGCCGCAAAAAAAACGAATTCATTTTGCTGCCAAAAATGTGAAGCTAGGTGGATTTTCCTCTAATGGTGTCTCTGCGCCTTGCTGGGGCATCTGCAGCATCCTTTATATCACTAAAGAATTCGAAACAGGAAGACAAGATGTTGAAAGAGAGGGAAGGCAATCCTGAGTTATACTCACGGGGCGCTCTGTCTGTTTGATGTTAAAATCAACTGCCCAAAGGAGCAGAACAGAGAACCTTTCACTCTTTCAATTACATTCTTAGATCTCACAGCATTTTACATGTGAATTTAGGGCTGGGAAAGGCTGGCAAAAGATGTGCCTTCTGTGTGTAAGAAAAGATCATGGCCATAGTCACAATTTGCTTTTCTTAAAAATTGTTCATAATTTTAACTGTGAGACATGCAGTAATTTTACATCAGCTTCCCATTGTGGTTCACAAAAAATAAATTTATCACATAAACGATTGTAAATGAGGCACTGGATACTTCTTCAACGTAAATGATGAAAAAGTATATATGCCATCCTGTTTTGGTTATCACCTTCTATAAAATGTGTTCATAGTAAGATACTGCAGAATGCACTAAAATAAATTTCAAGGTCACTAAACACCTTTATTATTTTTAAAAGTAATTTTTTATGAACTTAGAGTTCATCAATTTGGAAAAAGAATACAACAGAAATTTTCAGATATTTATTAATGTAAATCACTTTTCACAATATTAGCATATTAATACTTTATTTGTATAGAAACAATAGCACTAATTACATTGCAGCATTAAGCTATTCATTAGCATTTAGTTAATCTTCAAGGAGATAGTTTTAGACACCTCGAAGTGTCAGAGGCATAAGATACAGTGAAAATAATTTAGGGTATTTATCAATTTTCAGATTTGGAAACAGGCCCAGTGAGTTCAAGTATTCCTCACCCAAGTCTGAGCAGTTGGTTACTATCAAGTGAGTTCTAGAAACAGGTGTCCCAGTTCACTGTCAAATGGTTGCAATAGCACAACATAGGGAAACTGAATCTCCAAGTAGCTGCAGTTAAGACATGCTTCATGAATGCCTGCCTTACACTGTGAAATTTCCCAAGCCCCAGAGAAGGAATAGGTATACAAAGAAGATGCTGCCTTAAAGAAACTTGCAGTTTTGCAAGGAAAATAAACCTGAAACACTGTTTAAATTATAGTTCAAGATACTAATTTAATAAATAAAAAACATGGCCCAGCCAGCGTGGCTCAGTGGTTGAGCACTGACCCATGCACCAAGAGGTCGCCGGTTGGATTCCCGGTCAGGGTACATGCCCAGGTTGTGGGCCAAACCCCCGGGGGGGGGGGGGGGATGCAGGAGGTGGCCAGTCGGTGTTCTCTCTTAATGACGTTTCTATCTCTCTCTCTTCCCCTTCCCTTCCTCTCTCTCTAAAATCAATTTAAAAAAAGAAATTAAAAAATGACTAATTGATACATGTTTCATAAAGAGTTACAGGAGCTCCAAGGAAAGGTAACTCACCATGAGATGGGAAGGTGGGAGAACGTTGAAGGAGGAAGTGGGACTTGGTTTGGATCTTGAAAAATAGGGAGGATTTAGAGGAAGAGAAAGAAAAAGATGGCATTACAGAAAGATGGAACTGTGAGAATATCTGTAAAGAGCTTTCCCCCCAAAATATCCTGAGGTATTACTAGTACTAGGTAAGTGATATTGTCTTTATCTTAAGGGTCATTTCATCAAGGAGAGAATTTTAATGTTTATTATCTGTCCTGGTGATTTTGACAATAAAATGTGAATGGGAATTATTAATGCAGTGCCTTACTTATTTACTTATACCTCATTATTCCACAAAGAAATGGAGGCGGTCTTCAAAAATATAGAACATAAATTGAATAAAACAAATTATTAGGAAAATGATAATAAACCCAGGAGTAGAAGCAGCACACACAGAAAATCAGATTTCACAGTCCAAATTGGTTGTTAGTTGGAGGTGGGGGGACAAGGGGGACAGAAACAGAGTTAACCTTTCTAGCATTTGCAAGATTTTTCATGCATTAGATGAAAAATAAAACAAAAATCTTATAATCCTAAAGCTTTGCCCTTCCCAATACTGATACAGGAGAAAAAGAGAAAAACATCTCCCTCGAGATGTCATAAAGAAGCCACTGAATGATGTGGGAGGTGCTGGCCTCAACGCAGCCCTGACCGATCGTTAGAGCGAGTCATTCCACATGGCTCTTCGTCAGTGGAGGATGAGCATCGAGCTGAGGCACAATTCGGTTACAAAATGGTGTGGCCCACATGCCCAGCCCCCCTTTTAATACAAGAGCAAATTCGGAACACGTGCTGAATTGGAGAGACTCCATATTCTGCAGTTCATATTCATTCAAAATGTATTGATTGCATGCAAGGTGACAGACGTAGGGATATAGCTATGAGTAAAAGCAGACCGCTGTCCTAATGGAGTTAAGTATTCCCATGGTGAGGGGAGGGTCACAGACACATAAATACACAGGAGATGGGGAAACGCTGTGGGGAAACGGAAGGCAGGTGATAGAGGACGTGGTGGGCAGTGTGTGGTTAACACTTAGGAAGAACGGTCACAGACAACCTCTCTGATATGGCAAAGTTGGGGCTAAAACCAACTCGCTACAAGGAAGGAAACTCTTAGATATCTGTGAAGAAAGTGCTGCATGCAAAGGGAACAGTTAGTGCAAAGGCCCTGAGCAAGAAGCATGCTTGGCATGTCTGAGTAGCTGCAAGACAACCCGTCAAGCAACAGGCAGGGTGAGGGTCTTCTTATAAAAATAAAGGACCCAGGATGAGGTGAGAAACAGGAATAATGATAGAGTCAATGATTTCTTCAGAAAATTCCTACTGTGTCTGTTTCAGCACAAGCCAAATGCAGCTGAGGTCTGCCAGTGTATACCATAGAACATGACCATCATCATTTTAACTTGAATATTGTGCTAAAACTGACATTAAAACCACCCACTATAGATGTGGGCTTTTCTCCACAGCCCACCTCCATTATATGCAAACAATTACAGCAAGATAACCAGACATCATTTCTGACGCTTCAATATCCACAGAATGTCCTAATTGTGTTTCCTGGTGAATTTGCTGTAAAACTTTTAAATACAAATTGCATCCCTATGGACCTGACATGAGTACCAAATCATTCATTACATTTAAGCCTACTGAGGGGCGCAGGGTATATTTCACAGGTGCTGAGTTTGATTTTAAAGACAATCTGCAGTTGTGTGATAGCAGAATCTACGATCTATCAAAGGCACTTACGTGTGTCAACAAAACTTATCACCAATTTAGAGAAGACAACTTACATTTGTTTCCCATAGCAGGGAGCAGGCACCCAGGAAACTGAAAAGTGATATCAAATCATTTAGACACAAGTGAAAAAAAAAGAAGGGGGATGAAAATACCCCTCTGTTTTATGCCGAGAGAAATGATGTCTCAGGAGCCTGTCGTACACGCCTCTGTGATCTTCTAACAGGTACTAAGACATAGAATCTAGAAGATGATTGGTAATTGGTTCCATATTGCATTTAGAGAGCTTAACAATTCTCCCCAGAAAAAATGTGATAAGTGAATAGTATTAAAACCAGCAAATACCACTCATTATTCTTGACAGATTTTATCCCAAAATGATAGAGAATATATCAAAAGCCCACAATGAACCTTTATTATTTTTTTAATCCTCACCCAAGGATACTTTTCTACCTATCTTCAGGTAGAGAGAGAGGGAGAGAAAGGGAGAGAGAGAGAAACATTAACGTGAGAGGGACACATTGACTGGTTGCCTCCTGTATGACCCCAACCAGGGCCAGGGATGAACCGCAACCTAGGTATGTGCCCTTGGCTGAAACTGAACCCGGGACTCATTGGTCCATGGGCCGATACTCTAACCGCTAAGCCAAACCAGCCAGGGCCACAATGAACATTTTTTAAAAAACCCGTACCTGGGGATATGTTTTTACAGATTTTAGAGAGAGAGTGGGAAACACAGATGCGAGAGAGAAACATCAATCGGTTGCCTCCCATACGCACTCTGCCCAGGGGTCACGCTCCAAGCAACTGAGCCAACCGGCCAGAGCACAGTGGACCTAAAGGCCACCTGCCCTACACAGAGAACAGTGGGCACACTATGCTTGTAATTTCAGTCAAGAAGAAAACCGACACAGAGATTAGCTGTCCAATATGAGCTTACAAACTAAACCACCAGTACCAAAAATCTGTGAAAAAAATTATGTGAAATTAAATGGAAACAATCACCTGCTCAGCCAGTAATGAAGCTAAGCTTGAATAGGCATCTGCAAACTCTGGACCATATTTAATGGAGTCCTTTAGTAAAGTGACAGCCTCTTCTTTTTTCTCCTGGGACCTACAAGTTACAAGAGGGGGGAAAACATCTTTTAATAAAACTGTGTTTAAATCCTCCAATTAGACTTTAAGGTCTATTTACTTTAGCAAAGGTGAACTGGTTCACTCTGAGTTTCACTGCAAATGAATCGAACTACACTTTCTCAAGGCGTTAACAGTTTCTGTCTCTGAATCCTCAGTGCAAAGAGATGTGAAGGCAAAGGATGCCGCAGGTTATTCATTGATTTCTCCACCTTCTATTTCCCGCTATGCACTTTGGGGAAGTCTTATTTAATATCCTACAAGTTTGTTAGCCAGAAAATTAGACTCTCAGAAGCAGCAATTTGGGGACATTACCTGGGTGCATGGGAGCCAGACAGGAGGCTGTGGGAGAGATTTGAGTCCCTGTAGTACAGGTGGCACCATTGCAGGCTGGGCGCCTCACGCTGACTGAGCCACCCCTCAGGGACAAACTGCCAAACTGCCCAGGCTTGTCTTTGTTTGTATAGCTGAGAGAGATACATTTTACACATAATTTACGAAAGAAAATACTGTGATCACTGGCTGGCGAATTATGATCAGCTATTTCATCATCATATTTGTATTAAGAATTGAGGCTGGGTCTGTGTTCTTCATTTTAATCTTCTCCCAGTGATTATGCTTCTGGGTCAAAGCAGACTCAAGGCTCCCAAGTTATTACCATTATTTTGGGTGACAGTTCTCTTTCCTGGTAGTGCCCCTGGGAAACACTTGCTTGTTATCCTGATAACAAAATCTTTGAAGCCAAAAAAATACACTTAGCAATGACCAACTTTGCTACTAGTACAATTCCACAAACACTTATCACCTGCTGAGTGCTAGACCTTGTAACTGGCAAACAAAGTGGAAGGAAGAATAACCCCTGGACTACAGAGCACACAGCCCAAGGGTCCCCCATCTTTACCTGTTACCAGTGCTGAACTGTGCGTTTCTGTTCTTACTTGTTAGAATCCAGTCATTTAGTCAGCAATAATATCTACCATATGCTCTGGTAAATTTTCACATAACATTATTAATTTAATTCTTAAAACAATCCCATGCAGCAGGCATTATTGTCTTCTGTACTCATTTTTTTCTAATGAGAACATTTAAATTCAGCAAAGTCAAGTGATTCATTGAATCCACATAATCCATCTTCTGAGTCAAGAGCCAGGGCTCTTCTCTCACACCACATCCGCCTGCTCGCCGATCTCCTTACAAATCCTCCTCTGTGACCTTGTGTGATTCATGGACCAGTATCATCAACATCACTGAGGAGCTTATTAAAAATGCAGAGTCTCAGGCCCAAGCCAGACCCATCAAATCAGAACCTGCATTTTAAAAAGATTCTCAGGCCCTGGCCGGTTTGGCTCAGCGGTTAGAGCGTCGGCCTGCGGTCCAGAGAGACCCGGGTTCGGTTCCTGCTAAGGGCGTGTACCTCGGTTGCGGTTTGTCCCTGGCCCTGGTTGGGTCGTGCAGGTGGCAGCCACTCGATGTGTCCCTTTCATGTTGATGTTTCTCTCTCTCTCTCCCACTCCACAAAAAAATGGAAGGAAAAAAAAAAAGGATTCTCAGGTGATCTGTACACACGCTGAGATTTCACGTACCTGCTCTGTGAGTTATCAAAGGCAGCTCCTGCTACAAAACCCCTACGGCTTCAGTCTAGGTAGGATAAAGATCTACAGAGGGAAAACTAATGATGACTTCCTATGTCCTGAGTTCCCAGTGTTAGACGCAGCATATTACAAGGTGATTTTACCTGGAAGATAGTCTTTTATCACAGACATTGAAAAAAAAAGAAGTCATGTTTCCAGCACAGACCTTGCATTTAACTATTCAACTTAGCAAACATTTATCATTGTCTATTTTATGTTAGCTATTTCCCAAAGGAGGCGGCTGTCTATGATATCCTCTCCTTATTGGTGACTAGCGAGCTCCTACTGGGCTCCTCTTCAGACACAGGCCTGTCCTAGATATCAAAGTGTGACACCTGTGTCCTTAAGTAGACTGTCCTTGGGATGTGGCTTTAAAGTTGCATGGTTATAAAAGAAAGTTGCATTACAGCTCCCTCGGTGCTGCTTTCTTGTTGACTCATTCATTTAGTCAACAAGCGTTTAAGGAGCGCCCGTGAGACTGTATGGAAGTTCACTATGTTCACGTACTCCTGGGTTTCTATGCTAAAACATACCTTGAAGTATTTCTTCCATGGGCACCTCTTTTTAAATAAAAACTTATTTTTTAATCCTGGTCATTTTACTATTGATTTCATGGTTAGCAGAACTCTCCCTCCAAGGATTCTGTGCATCTTTATTAACATTAATTTGAGAATCCTCTCCAAATCCAAAGGGGGATATGGGTTTAGGAAATTAAGGCTGAAAATTAAGTCCCTCAGGACATAATGTAGCTTGGATAGTCTTCAAAATCATCAGGGAAAAAATACATGACAATTTGATAGTAAAATTTAACGATTTTTCATTTGTCATGGCTCATAGCACCTTAAACCTTTTACATATGAACTTGGTGAGATTAATTACCATTCAGTATAGTCCATGGATCTATATACTTGAGGTTGGCCACTAACATTGGTGTGACACAATGGGAATATTAGCATCTAAGTTATTTCTAGGGAATGTGGATTCTTTTTTTTTTATCCTCACCCGAGGACATTTTTCCATTTTTTGTTCAGGTAGAGTGGGAGGGAGAAAGAGGAACAGAGAGAGAAAGAGAAACATCGATATGAAAGGAACACATCGAGTGGCTGCCACCCACACAACTGACCAGGGCCGGGGACAAACTGCAACAGAGGTACGCGCCCTTAGCGGGAACCGAACCCGGGTCTCTAAGGACCGCAGGCCGACGCTCTAACCCCTGAACCAAACTGGCCAGGGCGGGAATGTGGATTCTTTATGAAAAGCTGCATTTCTATGAATCCCTCAAGGGACTGACTGACACTTTCAGGAAATCTTTGTTTCACAATTTCGTATGGTATATGAGTACCGCAAGCTGCAACCACCCGGGCAGACAGACCAGTTCCTCTTGGTCTCTGCAGTTTGGGTGACTCTGCTTTTCTGTGGGAGCCTTGGGGAGTCAGTCATTAGACACTGACAGAGTCAGGCACATGCCACCTTAACTGATGATTTAAAATACTTTTTTTACAAAAGCCCGAGGAACTGGTATGTGGTAATTTTGTTGTTGTTTTTGTTTCTGAAAGAGAGAGAAAGAGTAGGCATCTTAATATACTAAAAAATAGAAGACACATTTCTTTCTGTAGTGTCTCTTTTGCTCACCTTTTGGTGGGGGGTTTATGAAATAGGTGTGGCTTTGACAATAAATTATGGTGGATAATTCATCCAAATGAATTGGTCATCTAGTCACGCGGTTACCATGTGAGAACTGAACTTCATTTCAACCTGTTTCTGAACAGCATCCCTTTATATCTACGTGATGGCCCATGTTTCTCTGATGATTGTCCCATAGTAAAAAACAGGGACAATATTCCTACAGTTCTACTAGAGCATTGCAGTCTGGGGTGTGCCTCGCTCAGTTTCACTTGCTAACACCTGAGTCCATACCCTTAGTTCTCAACCTGCTTCCAGTTCCCTTTCTCTCCTCCTTTTACTGCAGACAACCAGAAGATACTTTTTTTCCCCTAGAGCATGGTGTTCAACACTTTTCCTTATATAAAAATATTCATTAACATCCTACTGCCTACAGATAGACTCTTAGTTTAAAACCCTCTCTATTACGATTCTGACCAATGTTTGAACATACCCAGGTGTCCACACGTCCAGCTGGTGAGTGGCCTTTGGCCTCTGTTCTACATAAACTAAGACCACCTACTTCTCTACCCTCACTGTACCTCAAAACTACTCGGATGCTTTTCCTTTCTTTTCTTTTCTTTTTTGTATGTGCCCCTAGTGGGAACCGAACCCAGGACTTTTTGGTCTGCAGCCCGATGCTCCAACCACTGAGCCAAACCAGCCAGGGCCACTCGGGGTGCTTTTCAAGAGACCTTTGTGTTCTGAGGTTGGGGCTCTTCTGAGGAAGCTCTCCACAGGAGTAAGACAGCCATCCAGATTTCAGACTTATGGCTATAATCCAACCTCCTTGGATTACAATAGTGGAAACTGAGACTCGGGGCCTCAGTGATGTGCCCTGGTGTCAAGCCAAAGGAAGGCCCCCGGATCTCGTGCCGCCCAGCCTGGCACTCTTGCCTGTTACTTCACAGGAGACTTTCCCCTCCTCCCCATTCAACTTCTGCTCCCCGATGCGGCCTTCCCTGACTTAACCAGCTCACAGCACGATCCCCTTACCAAAGCCCATAAACAGGCAACAAAACCAGAAACCACATCTTTGTTACCATTCTTACAATTTGTTTTTCTTTCTGTAGCTCCACAGCAAAAACAGTGGAAAGGGAATCACTGTTAGAAGCCCCGTTCTGGCCTCCAGAGGGAGGCCAGACACTCATCTGTGTCCTTCAGCACCACAGTCCTAAGGGGTAACTGGGCCCCCCATTACTTCTCTTCTCCAGGGTCCTTCCTGGCACAGCACGTGAAGGGCTCCCCATACTGCCCCCCCGCGGGAGGGCACACGCCTATCCGTGAACGTGCCACCGGGCAAGTCTTTCAAGTTTCAAGTTGTTTGCTGAACATTTACTCTCTGCTAAGGACAGCGATTCCCTCGTGTTAATTATTTTAACTCTCATGAAGCAGTACAATACTAGCAAGCGCCACTCCAGCGACAATCAAAACTAGAGCTCCTGTGATCTGCCCACAGCACACAGCTCCTCATACACCAGGCTTCTGTCCTGTAGAACTTCAAACACAGCCAGGCCACACGCCACGCGCCACGCGCCACGCGCCACGCCTCTGATCCACTCTCCTAAGTGTTACTTATACACTCTGCCTGTGACCAGAGCTCCTACAGATAGGACCCACGTCTTACTCATCTCACTCATTCACTTGTTTTATCCCAGCATTCTGCACATAGTAGAAATTCAATAAT